TATTGTGAGGACTATATTGCAATAGTTTTGGCATTACAGATATTTTTAATCAAGTGTCTAGTAGAGTATTCGATAAGTGTATTTTTCTATTAAAGAAAGAAGTAAGGGTTATAGATATTGGAATAATTAAAAAGTAATGTAGATAAAAACAAGTGATTATTTGCGAGAAGATCTGCCAAGTTGTTGAAGGTGTTACTTGAGTGAGCTTGAACTTTGTAAAGAGATAGTCTAATATTGTATACTTTAAGTAAATTGATAAGTGTGTGCCAGATCGGCCAAGCATTAAATTTAAAGTATTTAGTAGTAAAGTGAGGGGTTTGGAGAAGTTTGTTGTATTTAGAAATTACTAATTAAGAGTCAGTAAAAATATCCACTAAAGAATTATGAGGAATAGTAGAGATGGCAAAGAGAATAGCTAAGAAGCAAAGATTTTTTTATAGCTGAAAAATATATAAAATTTAAAAAAGTTTAAAAAAAAAATTATATAGTAAAAATTTTAATACAAGAATTTTAAACTTTTATTATACTAAAGTTATTTAATAATTTTAAAAAATTTTTTTAATAAAGTTAATAAAACAAATCTAACATTAAATATTTTACTTAGAAAATATATAGCTAAAATCAATATATGGGCTGCTGTCAATAGAAATCAAGCAAATTAACATTTGAAAAAAAATTAATATCTTAACTTTCACAGCTCATATCTCGATGAATTTTAAAGCTATCTTGATGATTTAATATTCAAAAGAAAGCTTACTATCTAATATTTCTTTTGAATATTAAAGCATCAAGATAGCTTTAAAATTCATCGAGAAATGAGCTATGAAAGTTAAGGCATTAAGTTTTTTTTTAAATGTAGATTTGCTTGATTTCTATTGACGGCAGCCCATATTATTAAAATTTGCTGATATAAGGTGCACATTATTTCGAAACTAATTACATTTTTAAATATTATATAGACTAATAACAAAGAAAACATGATGATCTGGAGTGTTTATGGTATCATCCTCGTGTGTTAATAATCTAAGGTTAGAAGAAGGTGAAGATGGGTAAAAATCCAAATGTTTATTTTATTTAAGTGTCAATACAAAGAATCATTCGATTTAAGATGGGCTATATGTCATACTGCATACACTTTCGCTTACATCCAAATATTCTTGTTTTCTAAGCCTTGAAAAAAAATTGTTAAATAAGAAAACACCAAAATACTTATAGACACTTAAAACGTAGCTTCCTTCGAAGTGATAATAATAATATTATTATTATTAGAACTTAATTTATAGTGACAACAACGACCAACAAAATATGAGCTATAAGTGATTCTATTTATATACATTTAAATGATTTATATGTGGATGAGAAAATCCTGAAAGAGGATTTGAGGACTTTATTCTCAGTTATGCAATCGGTTCTTTTAGACAAACTTAAAAGCTTAAATGAACCGGAAACAAAGTCCCGACAACTTTTAGATTAAACAATGTTTTATTGCTCTCAGCTATTGTAAATTTCATGAATCTGTTTTTTCCTAATAAATATCGCATACTATCTATTTTTCTTTATTAGATGTATATCTTATTTCATGATTCATACTATTAATACAGATGTGCATCCTTTTAAAAACATTAATAACATAATCAAATATTATAATTATCGCATTTAAAAGAATATAAGTTGAGAATTGTATACATGTGCAATTTACTGTAAATTTTAAATTTGATAAATATATTTTTTTTAACACGTTTGAAATGTGTGCCAGGTAAACATCATTTATTTATCGCTTATTTCTCAAAAATCACATCCTTTAGTGCTCTAACAACAGTTTTCCTTGAGCGATTTTGCTATATGGGCACTTAATATTTAACCTTATTCTAAGCGATAACCCTAACGTTAATGAACTTTAAAGTAGGGATGTTAAGTAGTCAGACTATTTTAGTTTTTACAGTACAATTTATATGTAACCAGCTAGTTCGACTAGGTTGGTTACATATAAATTGTACTGTAAAAACTAAAATAGTCTGACTACTTAACATCCCACTTTAAAGGATTTCGTTGTGCCACAAACCTGGCACACATTTCAGATATGCAAATACTATACGCTTTCTTTTTTTTATTGGCCATACACAACATTTTTTGTAGTAATAGCTACATTACTACGCTACCTGATATGGGCGAACAAAAGGAAAAACCATACGGTGATTTTCTATATTACTTACCAGTGTAGTACTAAATTTTTAATCATTAAATCATATTTCGTGTGGACATCAGAGCACAAAGTCTTTGCCGAAATTCGTTCATTTGAACACTGACTTCATAATTATATTATTTGAATTTATTTTTATTTCAGCATCGAAGTTCCCATACAGGCCTCAAAGTATCAAAAAAATTATGGATATAACCATATCATAGACAAGTAGTTGATAAAAAATTTATGGACTTGTTAGCATGGATAGGAAAAAACGGGCGAATAAATTTTCGTTGGAGAACGAGCTGGTCCTTCTACTAAGTGTGATTTAACAAAACTAGCAACCAATTCTTTTAATAGAGAAATGAGTGATTGCTTAAATTATAGAATTTTACAGGCCATGGGAAAGGGTGATACGTATGAATTACAATAATCAGGCAGTTTTGATATAGATGATTATTAAAACCGCAGTTAAAAATAACGTAACAATGGAATATGATAATGATTTTATACAGATTTGAAAAGAAAATTACTCAAACAAAACAATCCCGGTAAAAATTGTAAAGAGTTAATTCTGTCTAGGGAATTTTTTCTCATATTTTAGATTATAGAAGACCTTATAAAACTTTTACTTCCTCTGTAGAAAATCATTTTATATAAAGGAGAGTCGGTTATTATGGCGCACTTAGGAGTTGCTTATAAATCTCCAGAAAAAATAGATTTATTCTTGAAATTTTATTGAAATAGATTACTCATCGAATTAACCATCTGTTAAATGCTAATAATAAAAAAAAAAAATCGACTTTAAAAAAAAAGTTCTAAATATGAACTTTCAATATCTACTCAAAAGATGCTATTTGTGGGGTTATGACGCATCCTTCTTTCGAACATTACCCAAATGAGGAGATATATAATAAAAATCAAGAGAACTTAATACTGGATAAGTAATATCGACTTTTACATGTCTTGTGGTTTAGTAATTAGAATCAGAAAAAAATTTTATATGTTTTGATTCAATCTCATTAAGACAAATCTGAATAATGGTGCTTAAAATTTTTCGATTCTGATCAGTGTATTTCGAGATATTATCGAAAACTACGATGCGCTACAATACCCACCCGCGCCAGAATAACCCCCTTCCTTATTATTGAAATAACAAATAAATCAACTATTAAAGTTCACGTATTTTTGATTAAGTGATCTGCAATATCTTTATTCGTTGATTTTAAACAAGATGAAACAACTTTGGGGTTTTAACAAAAAATTATTTCTGGATTTTTTCAATTATAATTTGATGAATTTCGTTCAGTTATAACCCATTATAAAAATATACTACCAGATAATCTTCTCAAAGAAATTTACAAACCTAATGATATACCAAAAAGAGAATCAGAATATTTATTGTTCTGTTTCTCGATTTTTTATTTCTATAAAAACTTTTGGTGCAAGAGTAAAATAATTTGTTGATGCCGAGAATTAAAATCTATGGCAAAGTTACTTGAGCGATCTTTGAGTACTTTATTGATCGTAAAATTTTCCAATGGCAGGGTATAAAAAAAGAGCAGTTTGTGTAATTTTCAAGGTTCATTAAAAGAAAAAGAAATCTCATGATGTTCGATTTCTTTATGTAATTACATATATTACATCTTCTATTACGTAATTAATTCGGCACCCCTGGTTAAAGTGAAGGTGTTACTTCCCGTTTGGTCGCTTGGCCTAATTTTATTAATAAGATAATCTTCGTTTCAAATCAGAAAGAGTTGCTTCAAAAAAAACCGCATTCGTATCTTAATTCATTGCTTGCTTTTCAGAAATTTCTTATTCTGTTCTAAATTATATATTCGAAGATATCGATTTGTAACAACCATTTTATCAATCAACTTATCAAGGTAATATTTTAAAACAAATGTTAATTCAATCTTCAAATTTAATTTTTTTTTAAAGAGACATTTGAGGATTTAGTAGAAAATTTGAATATTTCAGATATTTCAGGCAATTTTTGAATGGTTTATATTGAAAATTTGTCAGCAACTTATCAATCGGGGGGTTTTTTTTTTTTGTTACATTGTGAGACTTGTAAAAAATTTTACTTTGAATTTTAATGTTATGCTATAATATAATTTTGTCTTAAGAGTTTAAATTGGAGAGTTAGGATCGATTATCAATTCAGAAAAAAATGTTGACTGTTCAAAAGATTTTGTAATTTCTATGTTTTGTACTAAGCGAAAGTTATTTAAATTACTTAAATGTTCTATACAGCCAAACCTCTCTAAGTGCACGTCTCTAGGACTGAAGGTAAACGTGCATTTATGGAGGGTGTACACGATTATGGAAAATTCGACTAGCCAATCAGAGCAAGAAAAATATACATATGCTTAATTCAACACTCTCTATTGCATGTTCTTAAAGTTGAAGGCGTAAATTCTATATTGATTATTGAGCGATTATGGATTCGATTGTAGCATTACTATATGCAGCAATTAATTATAAATTAAATCGACCGTATTATATGAACGACTGTTGGATTTCGTAAGAATTTATATCTTCACGAATATCAGGAAAACCTAATTTAATCATCCTACAATTTCAAAAATTTTAAAAACTTAAAATATAATAAAGCATAAAAGATTATGATTTATTCAAATCTAATGATATGATTAAGCCATAAAAGAAAAATGTTTTTCCTTGGGATATTTACTGTATAACATTTTTACATTGTCTTTTTACATACATACAAAATATGCTAGTTCACCATCAATTTAAAATTTCTTATTTGACAATTATAAAACCTATAAAGTTAAAACCTATTCACTATTACTTAATAATCACATTCAGCATCAAGAATAAACCCCTTAACAGCACGTGAGTGTTCAATGCTAATAAATCGACAGTCCAAAACACCACGAAAATGAGAATAAATTTTATCATAAGTATAGTCTTCTTCCGGAAGCACAACGGGGGTGACAGGTTTGTAATCTTTAGGAATAGGCATGTACTTTTCAACGTAAACTTGCTTGCCGAAAGGGTGATCATCAGAGGAATGATCATATGCACAGAATGCAAAGAATGAAATAATGACTATAAGTAGCGGCCAGATTAAAACCTTCACGGAAGAATTGTCGTTGTAAAATTTTGTACGAGTCATAAATTTGTCAAAGAAAGGTAAATTGCTTATGACACTTGCAATGGAAATGGATGGGATAAGAATGCTATTCAGGTAACTAATAAAAGTGGTCATACATGATAAAGGAATCGAGGCATAAGAACAAGTATTAATTAAAGGATGAATAAAGCGACATCTTACAACAACGCGTTGAGTTTGTGTGAGACCACCAAAGAAAATCAACCAGACGTTTCTTAAGAGAATAATCATAACGCAAGTAACGATAATAATCATTGTTGAACAAGTAGCCCATTTTGTTCGTGACATTTGATAATTAGTGATAGCAGGACCGATAAGTAAATCAAAATCTTGAATCATTCCCGAAACCTTCCCATTTTCGTCAATATAAAAATCAATATCACTAATGTCACTACAATCACTTAAGCTATCATCATCATCATCATCATCTTCATCTTCATCAGTGTCCATTTTATCTTCGAATTCATCATCATGATCGATGGTTAGTTGAGAGCTTCGAAGGGAATTTTGCGTACAGTCATAAAAAGATACTTGTCTTGAACAATCCTCAGTACCCAAAGTTCCAAAAGTGATTGTATTTTTAAAATCACACATACGTTCCTGTGAGTGAGGAATTGAGGAAGACTGTACACCCGATATATAATTTCTTAGAGCAATTACAAAACTTTTGGGAATATAAGGTGATGTTGGATCAGGGATGTCTTTGTTTTCATAAACTACAGAATCATTTAACGTATCTTGACTCAAATAAACGGTATCTTTATTCAAATAGGAATCTAATAAAATATATTTTTAAAAAGAAATAATTTGAATACGTATTCTAAACAAGAAAAAAAATTTTTTATTCACTCTTATACAGTAATAAAACAATTAAAACTCACCATTTGATTCCATGAATCTTATATTTTCATTAGATAGAATCATTTGAAGTAAAATTACTAATGATGAAAAATTATAAATTGACATTTAATCTCTTTGAACCATCAACATTAAAAATGAATAAAAGAACCCACAAACGTATTATCGCATTGAAATAGTAATAATAAATACCTGTAATAACTAATGGTAAGAATCTTTTTGATCAATGATAATTCTTCAAATATGCCTTCTTTTCAAGTGATATACGTATAAAGCATCAATTTTCTCAATCGTTAGAAAATCAACTCAACATTCATATTTCGTTTTTTCGGAGAATATAAATCATCGGCAACCTTTAATAATGGATAATATTTATGAAGCCCTACAAATTCATGCTTATTCAACGTGTAGGTTCACTTATACAGTAATAATACAAATTCATTATTTGCAAATACTGTACTTACCCAAGGTAAAAATTTAAAAATCACTTTCAGTCATTAGAGCACATCATTATGTAGATGATCTTGTCACACAAATATGAAAA